ACGCATCCTTCTAAGGTCATATATAGCTAAAGGTTACAATTTTTGAAAAAAGGTATACTAAGAAGTTGCTTTTCAGATTTTTAGACGTGCAAATTTTTAGATGTGGAAGAAGCAATATGTGTGTGGTGATGAGGTTGATTCATAATGTGATAAAATTTAGTAGGTGATGAGACAAGATAATTTCGTATTTTTTATTCTCCATGCGAGAAAGAAAAATATAAGAACTAATATTTACATACATAATAAAACTACAACAACTTTTTGGTGCAGCAGGCTACACCATGGGGCAGGGGTTACCCAAGTATTTTTTTTAGAGGTTACCCAAGTTATTTAGTCAAGGGTTACTCAATTAACTCGATCACGGGTTACTTATGGGGTTCCGACAGGGGTTACTCAAGGGATTCACTTAGTTCTAGGGTTACTTGAGGGGTTACTCGGTCAGGGGTTACTCGGTCAAAGGTTACTCGAGTTACTAGGTTAGGATTATTTAAGGAGTTTTGTGAGGGCTTACATACTCTCGAGTAATTTGGTTAAAGGTTATTTAAGGAGTTAGGGGTAACTTGAGGAGTTATCCAGTCAGGGGTTAGGTAATGGATTACTCGAGGGGTTAATTGGTCAGGGGTTACTAAAACATATATAAAGGAAATGTAGGAAAATAAAGAAAGGAATGAAAAATGCAAGTATAACACGTAATTCCCAATCAACAAACAAGTGATCAAATGACAACATCGCCAATGATCCCAAACACTCTAGGTGTTATAAGCGTCAATCCTCGAACCATTCAACTTCTCCTAAAACTAATCCTAAACTATGCATCCAAGAAAATAAAAGAGATAAAGAAAAAATAAGAAAGATGTCACCGACTTCTTAGCAATGCTAAAATAGTAAGGTATAAGAATCAACTACCTCATGAAGATCCAAGAAACAAAGACTCATCATCAAAGCCATGTGAGAACAAAAATAGAAAAGAGAACTATAGACAAAGAAAACGGTTAGTAACTTCTAAACAAAATAAAAGAAAGAAAAGCGAAAAGGAAAGAAATTAATAAGCAAAAATAAGCTAAACTAAACTATCAAGAAAGCAAAGATAAGAAAACAAGAACTAAATAACCAACTAAACATCTAACTAATCAACACAGTAATAAGCTAAAAAATTTTGATTCAAGGGTTTTGGATTCATGGGATTTGGATATAAGGGGGTTAGATTATAGGGAGCAACACATGTATCATCATCAATGAAAAATCATCACAAAAACAAGAACGATAAAGAGAAAAATAGGAATGAAAGAGCAAACACCATCGAAGAGAGATCAAGATAGAGACAATCATACAAAGGGGCAAAAGAAAACAAGGGAAGCTTCAACAACAAATTTTCCACCAAAACAAAACCCTAAGAAAAGTAAAGTTCCCCCAGGCTAATCATAGATACATCTTAACATCCCATCAATATAAAGCAAGCACACATAAGACAAGGGATAGAGACAAACGACACAAAAATGAGGGAACTAGCTACCACTACCACTTGGCCCAGAACCGTCATTGTCGTTCCCATTAGAGGAAAACCCGGATGAGGGACTATAAAGATCCCATCCACCAGTGTAACCGAGTGGCAAACCATAGTGCCCCCTAAAGTTATCTTGTTGCCAAGGGGCAAAAGGAGTGAATTCTTGGGCAAGGCGAGCGGTAGTGGGAGCTCAGGGTGTACATAGGGGTAGTAAGGATCACCTATATAGTTGCTCCTAGCGGGAACACGACAATCATAATTACCGTGCTCATCGAGGAATGAGCGAGTCTCGGTGTTGGATCCCGGGGATCCTTGCCAATATGGGTACGTGGGTACCTTATCACCCCCAAAAGATGGTATAGGACCATGTTGGGGTGGACAGTAAGGGTAGTTAACCGCGAGAGTGATGTCTCCCCGGTTAACACCCGCATCATAAAAATTTTGTTGTTGGAGAAACATACCTTGTTGCATCTCCAAAATTCCCCTCATTTTAAATTAGAGGGCCTCAAAATCTTGATTGTACATGCCCTTCAACCGGATTTGCATGCCTTTCATTTGAGCACTACGGGCATCCAAGTCGGAGTTAGCAAATTGGTGTTGTTGTTCTTAATGTTGTTGTTGTTGTTGTGGCGGCTCTTCTTTTTCTTCTTGACCCATTTCTTCATCATCATAATATAGAGCACGTGTCTCAAGGGGATATGCCAAATATTTGCCACATTCTCGCGGTGGAGAGAAGTCAAGAAGGGGTTAGGGAGATAGCACCAATGCGTGTTCTCCCGAAGCCAATCAAACATCTCGTCATCATCGTTCTTTGCTAAAAACTGAATTTGCTTCAATTGCTTGGTAGAGAGAATCAACATCCCCCACCGGAGTGCAAGAAGGCAAATAGTGATCGAGCTCAAGCTTGGTCACTAGCCTTGTGACCATGTTCCATCAACGAATCTCGCCGGATTACCTATCTTGAAATCCTTGGGAATACCTCAAAAATGTGTACCCCAAATTTAGACGACCTCGATACTCCTCACGACAAGCCATCCAAATAATCTGAAGCTCCAACTGACTCATTTTGCCAAACTCTTGCTTAGAAAATACCGAATACCTCAAAAGCCGATGGAGAACTCGAAGCCATGGTTGAAACACCTTACTGATCTTAGCATACCAGGTCACAAAGTCACCACACCCTGAAATGTCATCCCACCATTAGTTTTGATCATACTCATTATTGAAAAAGAGCTCGGGATCCAGCATATCCGAGTTCGGATCGAAGTCAAGTGCTGCATTGAACTCTTCAAGAGATTGTTTAAAATGAAAGTTGAAGAGTTGAAACCGAACTCGGTAGTAACCTCCCTCAGCCATAAAAAGATCAACATTATCCAAAAACTCCAAAGTAGGTTGAACATAAGTACAGAAGCTTCGGCTCACGAATGATCCCATACGGAGGTTGTTGAGCAATTCCCATAAGTCTTCATGAATTCCCAACTTGATCATTTTTGGTTGGAAGTAATGTCGGGAAGGTTTAAGGGAATGGTTATCTTTTAGTTTGGTGTATCTTGCCTTTTGTATTGGGTCAGTAATTCATAATTTGGGAATAGGGGTAGGTTGGCGAGGTTGTGAGGTAGAGGGGGAAGTAGCGAGGTTTCTTCAATGGTTACATTGGTATTTTGTTTCCTGAAAAGGTTTTTTATGTGTTTAGACATGATGATCTCTCGAAGATATTAGCTCAACAATCCAATCACAATATACCACAAACACCACAAGAAACACCAACCAACAAACAATTCAAGATGCCTCAATCACACTTCTTAACCAACACCGTCAATCAACAAGTCACTACCAAAATCAAACAATCTCAAATTTACAAAATCACCACCAATTTAAATCAAGAATTGCTTTCCAACCATACACCAATCACAACGAAAACAATAACCAAAGCTCAACAATATCAATATCATGCTACCAAAAATCCCACCTCATCAATTCTCAACAATCATGCTTAATTTAGCTACAAAAACATCAAACAACACAATGTGAGGCAATAACAATCAACAACAACATATATAATCAACCAAAATTCTACATTAATCACCAAAATCACCAAAATTCATACTACTACTATTCACAACCATCAACTATCTAATACAGGCAACTATATGATATAATTATACAATTAAGAGTAAAAGAAGATGTTTATACCATACAAGATGCAAGATTGAACAAGTTTTGGCCACCAATTCCCTCAAAAACGAAAAAGCCCCCATTTGCTTAAACAATGGATGATAGAGATTGAAGGTTGAAATAGATGGAAGTAGTGTATTCTTGGTTGAAAAAGATGAAAATGTGGGAAGATTTTAAAAAAAAAATTATTAAAAATTTGTTGATTGCATGATGAAATGTTATGAGAGGGGTTAGGTTTTGTGCGGTTTGAGAGTGAGATGAGAGGGGGTGCGTTCGAGTGTGATAGGGAAGAAGGAGAAATAAGGAAAAGAAATGGGAAAGAATATGGTAAAGGCACGGCTGCAGGGGTGCACGCCTGCGTGTCCAGGCTGCGCGCCCGCGCCTATGTCGTTCATCTGTGGGATTTTCGTTCAATATCATCCCCGGATTTTTGAACCCACTGTAATGATCAGTTTCTAAATATGAAGAATGTGGGTTCAACATCCATAAAATAATGATAGAACCACAATGAACTCACCAAGTTAAAATTTCCTTCAAATTTTAACCCAATTTCCCTATCTTACCTCACTAACATTTCTTACCCTTGTTACCTCAAAATTCGATAAAATCAAACATACTTCACATCGAAAACTGCAAAACACATATTCATTTCTTATGCTCATTTAAATTAATCCATTTCCATGAATTTACCCTATAATTCCAAAAGAAAAATAAGTTATAGAAAAGAAAATAAAAGAAAGAAAATTTAGAAAATAGAAATCAAAAGAAAAAGGTTAGAAATCTCCGGGTTGCCTCCCGGGAAGCGCTTGCTTATGGTCCTAAGCTCAAAATAATTTAGGGTTAAAGGACACCACCTTACTTAAAGTGGCGGAAAGTATAGACTTCTCTTCAATTTGTAGCAACTCCACATTATTGCTTGATGAAACCTCATCTGCTTAAACTTCAAAAACAACCTTCTCATTCTTCAACTTCAATCTCATTTACTTCTTCCTAGAAGCCCTTGCCTTCTTCTTAGGCTTGTTCCTTCTTGTAGACGAGTTAACACCATGCACTTCCTTGGAACCATCCTCCTCCTCTTGAGGAAAAAGCTCAAACCAATGTGGAATGTCAATTACCTCTTCGTCCTTAACCTTCGAAAGCTCTTTTTCTTCTTCACTAACTTTCACGCCATCAAAATTTACAAGAACATCATCAAATATCTCATGAACACCATTAATTGAAGAATTAATCACACACACATTATCCAATGAACGAAGGGAATTATCCTTCATGACTCCTTTCAAAAAAGACAAGGATTCATGCATCGGTTTTAGCTTAAAACTTACTTTTTCATTACAACTCTTAAAGTGATACGACCTCCTTTAACATCTATTAGAGCACCTGAGGTAGCTAAGAACGGTCTCCCTAGAATAATAGGAATGTGGTCATCCACTTCAATTTCTAGCACAATAAAATCTACAGGAATTGTGAAACCACCTATCCTAAGGGAAACATCTTCAACTCTTCCTTTTGGGAACTTAATAGATCTATCAGCCAATTGTAAGGTCATGTTCGTAGGAAGAAGTTCTCCTAGCTTAAGCTTCTTGAACACCAAGTAAGGCATAATGATAACACTAGCACCTAAGTCACACAATTTACTCTTGATTTTGCAAGGAATAGAGAAATTTCCCGGATCTTTCATCTTCTTTGGTAAGTCATTTTGAATCAATGCACTACAACACTCAGCAAGCACTACCGAATCTATATCATTGCACTCTCTCTTGCCACTCAAAATATCCTTAAGGAATTTTGAATATCTAGGCATTTAGGTCATAGCTTCTGTGAGAGGGATAGAAACATGGACCTCCTTCAACATGTCATGGAATCTCCCAGATTGTTCATCTAAGTTGATCCTCATAAACTTTTGGGGATATGGAAGGTCGGGTTTTCTCACTTCCTCTTGCACTCTCTAAATACTCTTCTTTTTCTCATGGACTTCCTCTTTGCTCACACTCTTTGATACGTTTTACTCTTTTTCCCCACTTGAATCACAATCACTCTTCTTCTCATCCTCCTCACTATTCCTAGAAACTCTCTCTGCAAGAACTTTTCCACTCCTTGTGGTGATATAATTGTTTTGGGGTTTTCTGATGTCCTGCGCGAGAGTTACAATTCCGAGACTGGAACCGGACGCCTGTACCTGCAAAACCAACGGATGCTCCGGATGATTGGAGATCCGCCTCCGACGGTCAAGTTAGTACTTGATTAAGGAGTAATTAATGCGGAAATTAAAGTGATTGGGTCTCTCTAGGTGAGAGTGTTTAATGTGTGTAATCTGCGTAATCTCCCTTAATGAGGATTAAGGGAGGTATTTATAACCTCGGGAAACGTGCCAATCTAGGTTTAGGTTAACCGTGGGCTGATTGGGCTTCCCTCGGAAGTTGGGCCTAGGTGGCCGGCTTCTCCATTAGGCATGTAGTATGCCACGTGTCATGACATAATAAGTCCAGGGTGGACGAATAAGCGTGTGCCACGTGTCAAGCCCTAAGAGGTCCAACTGGGGGACACTTGGCAGGGCCTGATTGGCCCACGTGGCGCATTCCGATTGGTGGGAGCAAAATCCCCTAATCATTTGTTCCTCACAGGTGGCACGTGACTGGTCACGTGTTACCTGTGACAGGTGTCGCTGACGAGGGTTAAATCGGTCGCTACAATCTAACTCTCAATCAAACAATACTTATACGAACACCCTATAACGAAGTACAATGACAAATAAAGGTTCGGTCCACGAGGAACGAGAGTAATTGCAAATCAATCTTAAACCTAAGCTAGTTAGAAATCAATGGAAAATGGTGTTCTAAAATACTACTAATAAGATGGAATAAATCAATAAACTGAGACACTAGGGAGAACGGGAATCCGCCTAACCATTGGTAACTAAGCAACAAGGAATCACAGAGACAAACGGGATATGCAAAGACTATAGGTCTGATCAATATCATGTGATAGGAAGACAACGGGCAATACTAAGCTTGGATTTCTCATGCACTTAACATTACTCGATACATAATCAAACCACATTCAATAATGAAATACTCAATTAACAATCTCTTGTTCAAATCAAGAATATCATGCAATCAAATTCAAGATTCTAGGTTAGCTACTCCTATTATAATGAATTAACATGCAATCGCATATAATCAATTTAATCACAATCCGTTTATCAAAATCAATCCTCAATTACATAGATTACCTAGGCCGGGTTTCATCCCGAAACCCTAGCTAGGAGACTACTCACACATATTCATAATCAAAGCAATAATGAATTCCAAAAGCATAATAGATATAAACATGAATTCTGATTAAGGAATAATAAAGCTTGACTAATAAACAAGAATGAATAATACCAATTGTATTGATGCGAATCAATGGAAAAGTTCAGAACTTTGATATCCGTCGTCAATGAATAATACAAAGAACCTTCGCAAATCTTGCTTCAAATCAATCCAAGAAAACTAAAATCTCTAGGAAATTCTCTAAGAAAACTAATGAATCTCTAATACTAAGAACGTTCTCCAATAACTCTCTACAAAGGCTCTCAAAACTATCTCTAAAACTCTCTCCGGAATCCTCTTAAAGTTGGGCCTTATATACGTCTTCTAATTCGGAGAAGTCAAGCGCGCAATTAACCCTGGATCAGCACGGCCGTGCTGTATTTGGCACGGCCGTGCTAGCTTGTCAGTAAGTAAACCGGGTTTCTTCTTCAAATTGGCACGGCCGTGCTATATATGGCACGACCGTGCAGCTTCCTGGCACGGTCGTGCTGAATTTGGCACGGCCGTGCTAATGCCTGGCACGGCCGTGCTGAATCTGGCACGGCCGTGCTGAATCTGGCACTGGCACGGGCATGGAAATTGGCTTGGCACGGCCGTGCTAATGCCTGGCACGGCCGTGCTGAATCTGGCACGGCCGTGCTAATGCCTGGCCTGGCCGTGCTGAATCTGGCACGGCCGTGCAGCATAGGCAGGAAGGTTGCAGGCACTTTGGTCTTCTTAAAGCAGTCACAACTTCTTATCCAGAGCTCCGTTTAAGGCGTGCAATATATCGTTGGAAATCTCTTCAAGTCTACTTTCCAATGCAATTGGAATCACTCCATTATCATTTGTATACCGAAAGTTGTGAGCAAAATAGTGAACAGGTGTCATATTTGTGAACTGTTCTGCCTTGCCTGCTACTTAACTTGCCTTTCAAGGCCTTGAGAACCGCAGCAAAGCCTTAGCTTGGTGGACTAGGATCGATAATAGCCTGATTACGCACCAATGGTTCAGGACTCGACATAACTTGGTCAACTATACCTGTTATCACACAAAAAACAGACTGAAACCCGTGAAGCACGTAATATGAAGGAAACGAGTGTAACAAGGCAATAAACGACCAAAACGGGCCTAAATACATCCAAAATCACCCATTTATATGCCTTAAAGCGCGCCCTAATGTGCACTTGTCAAAATCCCCCAAGCTACACTTTTGCTAGTCCTCGAGCAAAACTAAGGGATACACACACACACATGATCAAATAAACTATTGCCATTACATATAAATCCAATTTAGCACGGAATGAAGTCAATGGATCCTACTTAGAACAACCATGCACGGAATGAAAACTCACTCAAACAAGCAACGAGACACACAATCCAAGGTATCGTTGATCAAAATGCAAACAAAACCTAAACCCAGCATAGAGAACAAAGAAGTCATGCTTCCCTCTAAACCCAACCAAACCGGCCACGTCCTCCCCTTTTGCTTCAAATCACCACCCTAATTGGCCCCTCGTGATTCCTCGAAGGAACCGGAAAAAGTGATATTTTGAGGAAATAACAAAGGTATCCCGACATCTCGATTACGCATAATCTTTCCATAGGGTTGAAAGGTATCTCCCTCCACCGTTTGAGAACCGAACACCTCTAAAGTCTAAGGGTCTTAAAGGGTTGTAATGTATTGGCAATGGGTAAGGTAGGTGAAAACAATTTAAAAAATGGGGTTAATTCCTAAATGAAGCGCAAGAATCACAATTCTCAAAAACAATAGTTCAAAAGATGCAATTCACATTCCACAATAAACATTGATCACACTTTTACACATCCCAAACTCTCTATGTTATACACACTCAAATCACCTTTTTCAAACTTCAAAGCCTTTATTCATATGTCCTCGCCTTTTTCACTATTCGGACGGCTTTTCTCCTTTTTTTTTTTGATTTTCTTTTCTTTTTTTTTTCTTTTTTTTTTTCAAAAACAAATTTTCATATTACATCTTTACAATTAAGCTCACTTTCAAACTTTCTCAAACCAACTATCGATCATTATTCTTGATTTATACACAATAAGCTCAAACAAACCTTGCGAGGTAAACGCTTCACAACTAAGGGTTGGTAAAACATCGACCATCGGGTTTGTAACATGGGTAACCAAGAATGGAATTAAAGGCTCAACATGGTTAGCAAGTAAGATGATGTAAAAAGAAAATTAATTTGTAACAAAACAAAAGGAACAAGAATAAGAAAAATGAAAAAGGTGCCCTCTTCCTCCCTTAAAAGTGTCAAGTCGGTCTTGGGAGCTACAAGTCAACACAAAGATCGAAACATGCGTAATCAAGGATCCAAATATGCCACTCAAGAAGAATGATGAAGGCTAGAACAATAAAACCTCACGGGATTCAAAAACAAAGCAACTACCAATTAAGGGGATCAAATCCACAAATGGGAAGCGACTCCATCTTACCACAGCCCAAAGGCATATTGTTTCCCATGACAAAAGTGTTCTAACCAACTACCTTCGCCTAGACTCGTCTACATTAATCAACAATAGACTCAAACTGTGTATTCATCACTGGCTTAAGTAGAAATAGATATTCCACACACATTCATTCACGTTTCGAATCCAAATATGAGCATTATTCCAAAAGTTTATGCAATTAGACAAGTTTATCACGATCCAAAAATATAGGAAAAGACTATGAGGTAAATCATATAAACTAGACTACACATTCTCATAACAGAAGCTTTTCCTATATTGCACACAAAAACAAAAAAAAACTAAAGGAAAAAGGGAAAGATTTCACCAAATGCTTCTTGAAAACACACTAAGACAACATGAGATGCGGCGAAGCTCCTAATGCTACCTCCATGAGTCTTCATATCTGCACAGGTTAGATAGAAACAAACAAAAAAAGAAACCAAAAGAAACTCGTTTTTTTTTATTTTTTTATAGGAATATGAAGAAAAACAAGGGAAAATCAACAAGGAAACCATTCACCCCCCCAAGCTAGTATAGACATTGTCCTCAATGTCAGGCATCGAGAGACTACCTAGAAGGCAAAAAGGGAAAGAGAAAAGTACCTCATTGACTGGGCCTCGGGTTGCCTCCCGGAAGCGCTTCTTTAACGTCATTAGCTTGACGCAACACATGGATTACAGGTTACCCATAATCAATACTTGCCATTGCAGTGGAGATAAGCTCACCATTCTTATTCTTGACAATAGTCACCGCCCCTTTCTTAGGTACTACAAACACAGGGGAAACCCTTCCTTGATGTGTTGGAAGGGGTTTAAGCTTTACCTTTGGTGCTTCATTAGCCTCCTTTGCAGTGGCCACATCTAATGCATCTAGAAATTGCTCCTCCATGTCCCTGTTTTCCTTGTTCTCATTCAACTCAAAATCATGATTAGTATAGAATAATTCGTTACGCATATCAGAGACAATGGAATCAACAGTGTCAACCATCATGCAATTATCAGAATTAGAACAAGGATATTTCATAGTTTTA